ATCAGCGTCAACTAAACCATCAACAACACCAAGGGGGACACCACAGGTCGTAGGAGCCTAATTAAATATTTGGGAAGTAGGTTTAATTAAGGTTAATTGTTAAAAATATGACATATAACATATAACATGAAGACATCCATTTTGGTTGGTTATTACATAGCGTGCCATATACATTTACATTTTCATCGTAAAAACAGAGAAATGTATAACATACTGTGTTCATGCTGTCTATTACAAAATTCAGCACATTATTACAAAATGCATAATGAAATAAAAATGTATTACATGTTATCAATTTATTACATAATGCAGTGTTAATACATAATATGATGTTACAAGGTTCTTTAACAAGTGATTGCATTTAATATCCTTACACATTTTTGAATTGGCAGTATTTGGGGGTAGAGAAATCTATTTGCTGCAGTTTATTATGCTGTGTGGCATCAGGCATAGACACATCCTGACATTTTGTTGTTGGTGCCAAGCCAGTGATAACAGTAACTTCCAGTCATTTGGAAGACAGAAACAGACTAATAAGGACCTTTGGCAAATCTTAATGTCTCCTCTGATCTTCTTGTTTCTGTCAAGTTTAAACAGCTGAGGGGCACAGAAATAAAAAAGCCAAACTGTGCGCAGCATTACTAAGTTGGTATCTACACAGCTTTTGCTCAAGGTCTCTTCTCATGTTATATCATGGCACAGCAGAGGGTCTGAAATAGCCTTGAGATGATGTCAAGGGGTGCGTAATGTGTGTTGTGGGCCAGGGGTCCATGGGTAACTGAGCATATAAATAGGATCTTTGGATGAAAGACTCATATAAGTGTGTATGGCCCTCTTTCTCACACATGAAAAGTGTTAGGAGAAGTCTGGGCATGTGCCACCCTTGAGGAGCTGCCTTTGATCGGCGTCTGTAAAATTCAGTTGTTCAGAGTCACATTTTGCTGAGTTCAGGGGACTTGGTTTCAGAGCTGGCGGACAGCGCTGGAAAACAGACAACTGGGATGGTCCCCGTTGGAATGTTCGGATAAATTCAACAACACGCCAGCACCCCTGGGATTTGGGTGCACTGCGTCGTACGTGTCTCCAGGCAGTGGACACACTTTGATGTCTGGCTCAATTACATCTGACAGCCCTGCCTGTGATCACATACTAGGAGAGTTTGAATATGGGGTGTAAATACCTACCAAGTTATTGACGCAATATGTAAACCAGTACGCAGACTAATTAGTGTATTAGTTTACTTCCACATTTCATGTATGCGTACGTCAGTTCTGATTCAAAAAATGTTCATCAACTGGAAAGAAAAATCAAATCAGTGCATCCAAACTTACCTCCCCTGGCCTCTTTAGACAGAGCCTTAGCCTGCAGCATCCTCTGCCTAGTCACGTCATCCATGCCTGACTGCATCATCATCATAATCTTCCTCTGATGGACACACCTGTTTCAATGTAAATTATTAGGGTGTTTAGAAGTTTGTTTTATGATACTTTATGATACTATTTTCATATATTATTTACAACTGGAAATCTCTTCTTATAGTAAGTGAGAAAAGCAAGAAAAACAAATTTCTATAGGTTTCCTGTCCTAAATAATAAGTTATAGGCTATATTAAGGGTGCCTCCATTTTGTTATGATTAATTTACTCCAGTTACGTGTTTCTCCTAAATGGGTCCAGGCAATACTTACGGATATTTTGCTTAAGTTTCTACAACTAAACTACCTTTCTTACTTACTTATGTGAACTGTCTTTTTTGCATTAATTAAAAAGAAATCATAATGTTGTCATCATAATTGTAGCAAAACCACAGTGCATCTTGACATTTTAAAGCTGTCTCTCCAGCGTCATAAAAAGCTTTTTTGATTTTATCAGTTCCCTGTTTCAGTTCATAAGCAATGCCTTCTGTCACAGCTTATTCTGATAGTAAATGCCTACTCTCTCCCCCCTTTCAGCCCTTACCTGTGTCTCCTGCCTGTCTGTATGTCGGTTGTTAGAGGTGGTCTGGTTGGTCGGGTGGTTTCTCCCGCACTGGAGCTGGGATGCTTCCACACTCCACTCTGACACTCCTCAGCAGAGAAGGAACAGTCTGTATAAACCTCATCCCAGGATGCCTCTGGGGCTTACCTCACTGGGTTATTTTAGCAGAGGGATAAGAGAGTGCGGATGGATGGAGGGAGTGTTTAGGAGGGGGTACAAAGGGGCGATTGAGGGTATGGGGCAAGTATAAAGATTTACATCCTGACCTCGAGTCTCTTTGATAATAAAAATCTGATCCCCCCCTCCCTCCTCTCTATGTGCGTGTGCACATGCTAACAGCTGCTGTCCAGACAGTGACACTGAGCTCTCAGAGAGGCCAAGCAACCTCTCCACTGCAAACATAGACACACACAAACACAATTTCTATTTTCTCTCTTTCTTTTCTCCCCTCTGCAAAGCCCTTTGTGACTACTCTGCCATATACACTTAGTTCCTTACAAACACACTCGCCATGTGCTTCCCATATACAGACAGTTTTATGGGAGCAGCTGTAAAAATGATGGGGTCGCCTCGATCAGATGTTGCGATTCAGTTCTCCAGTTGGGGGTTAAAGGTTAAACTCTGTTGCAGTTTGCTCTTCCATTTTTGATGCTGTGACGTCTTTTTCTTTCACACTGCTGTGATTTATGGGCATTCTTCATACCTCTCAGATGCTCAGCTTTGTGTTGTAATAAATAACAATACAGTGTTTTTACAGTGTGTTTTAATCTATTATGGCTTACCAACAGCTGAGAAACTCCAGTTGTGAATTTTACATACATTTGCATGTTCTGTTACACTAGAAGTGATGGCCTTTATCTTTATATCTAGTTGCCATTTTTGAACTCAAGTTAGTTAAAGTCAAGTCTTTATCGAGCAGCCTTTTTTACCCCACAAATTAATTCATTGAGCTCAACAGGAGCCTGGAGGGAAAAAACCTTTTCCTTATCCCGGTTGAGATTGGATATCGATTTTGCACTGCCCTGCTCCACAATGCCACTATCCCCCAGTGGGAACCCTACAGGCCTCTGAAAGAAAATGTGGAGTCATCCTGAGTCACAGAAAATCATCTGTAGACACACAATTGAAGTTGAATAGTTGCTGAGCATTAAGGGTTTATTTAAGAGTGTTTGTTCAGTAGAAACAACTATTTTGCTTTATAAAGAGAAACCAATAGGTTAGTAGCCTCCTGTTAACAAATGCAGTTTCAGCTTTTGTGTGGCTCTGTATCACACAGAGCCAGTGATTAGAATCAATCTGTCACTTCCAGTTCATTAAAACCTGTTGCTTATTGCAATTCATTACAAATGGAGCTATTATGAGACATGTCTACTGGGAATTCAGCTATTTAAAAAGGACAATAACAAGATAATGGAAACAGGACAAAAACTTGTGACTGGTGTCATCTGTGTTTGAGAGGTGGCCTCCGCAGTGTGTTCATGTCACATAGAGAGAGGTGCACAGCCACCAGGTGCTGACAGCTGACACAAGAACAATAAAGGCCCATCTAGACTCAAGGGCTTGTGTAATTAGGGGACCTTTAAAATCGTTAGTCCTGTTGGCTTTCAGATGAAACCTTATTTGGCTGGCTAGTCTGAGGAAGGTCAAAAGTCCACAGGTAGTGTAGAGAGCAAGAGAAAACAAAAGCAGCAATATTCAGTATATGACTTGTGATAGCTTCCTGCTGAAAGCCAAATGCATTAAAATTCAGGTTGCAGCACTTAAAAAGTCATCATTCTGAACTTTCCTTATTCGCTCGCAGGTGCCTTTGGGAGGACTGTTGGAAGTCAATCAGTTGGGGAGCTGTCTTGACAGTGCTCAGTTTGAGCTTCAACCCAGAGAGACATAATGTACGGGCTGTTGTGTGAGAGTCTTCATGACTTCATCAAGGAGTCTTACGGAGATGATGTGTGGAAGCTGGTCAGAGAGAGAGCAGATGTCAGGTTACACTCTTTTGTCACCCACCAGGTACAGTGTCAGTGTTTCTGAAATGAATAATTCTGTATGCATGCATTGAATAGTGTTTATTTGCTGTGTGCATCCAAGTCTGCAATTTCTGTCACTTTGTCTGCTTTTGTCTGAAGCTTTATAGTCCTGATGTCATAACGTATGTTTTTCTCGCTGATGGTAAATGTGTGTCTGCAGGTATATAGTGAGAGTGTGATTCCCCGTATTGCAAAGGCAGCCAGTGGAGTGACAGGCACACCCTACAATGAGCTGATGAACTCCTGGGGTGTCTACTTCCTGGGCTTTGTTGGGAAGTACGGATATGACAGAATCCTCAAGGTGAAAAAAGACTCAAAACTGTCAAAACTCTGTTGTCTTTTAGTAGACGTGTGAGAAAATGACTAATCACCCAGTGAACTGCGTATCCTTGAGACTACTATTGTGCTCATGCTAGGTTATGGTTTTGAATTTTTTGCTTTTCTCATATATCTTTTTGTGTCTTATTTTTATGTTGAAATTTTAAAACAAAATCTTTTAATCCAGTTTTAAAAGATTATTGTAAGTGTTTGTGAACACCTCTTTATGTAGTCCTTAGACAATTAAAGAAAGAATATGCAACTCGTGCAAATCAGTCAGTAGAAATGTAGCATGTCACATAAATGTCATCATTATAATGATGGTTTTAGTTTCTGTCCAGCCATTAATATCAACCCTAATCTGTTTGGATTGATAATTCTGCAGGACCTTTTGAAAAAGTACTATAATGCACTCTGCTTGCACTATGCACTATTATAAAATTCTTTTTCAGGCAAAGTAGGAGCAAAATATGACACATTTTTCAATTTAGTATTGTACTTTCATTAAGTTGTGGGGCGTACCAAAGGTCACTTTTATCGGTCAAGCTCCAAAAACCCTCAGTCCTGCAATTTTTAAAATGGTTTTGTGTGGTTGGTTAAGTGCAAGCCATGGTAATTTTAACGACATTAATAGGGGGTTATTTTCTCTTTCTCACTGTTTTCTTAAAATCAGTAGGATTTAAAAATGTCTGTCTTAGACATGACCTGTCACCCTCTGCTTCTGCCTTCAGGTGCTGGGTCGTCATGTTCGTGACTTTGTCAATGGCCTTGATAATCTCCACGAGTACCTGCGCTTCAGCTACCCCAAAGTGCAGCCTCCAACCTTCTTCTGCCAGGAGGAATCTGCCACTGGAGTCACCCTCCACTACAGGTCTGAGGCGAGGAGGAGGAAGGCAGAGGGTTGGAGTGGGTTGCAGGGGGAAGACTGTCGGGATCAGACATAAAAGTACAAGAACAGAGAGAAAGCTGTGTGATGAAATTCTGATGGACTGATATTGAATTTTCTTCCTATGTGACCTGCAGGAGTAAGCGCAAAGGCTATCTGCACTACGCCATGGGTCAGCTGAGGCAGATGGGAAAACAGTTCTACGACACCGACATCCATGTGGAGGTGCTGTCTGAGCAGATGGTTGGAGACTACTCCCATGTCACGATGAGGTACACAAACACACACACACACAGCTTTTTTTTATACTGGTAGAAAGTAACATTTACTCAGGTACAGTAATGAGTACAATTTTGACGTACTCACTACCTAGTAGCTACACCTCTGCAGTAAAATTCTACTGTATTATTGTGTCAGTACTATCAATCTAATAATGAGCTATATATCACTTAAGTAAAAGATCTGAATACTTCTTCCGCCACTTAACTTCAAACGTTAGAAAACATATTGATCTGTATGTCTGTACAGGCTGAACTTTGACAACTCAGCCTACCGCTACATCATGAAGGAGGATGAGGAAGAGCAGGAGATTTTGCCCATTACCTCAGACTTCTTCTTTGAAGTCTTCCCCTTTAACATCGTCTTCAGACAGGTAATCCCATTGAGTTAAGTTCTTAAACTCACCATGGGCAGTTAATAAATGAAATGAAACATTAAATGAACGCACAGTCACTGCAATTCACTGATTCTTTAGGACATGGTGGTGCATAATGTTGGCTCAGGCCTGGCTACAGTCTTCCCTGATCTGGATGGGAAGAAGATCAATGATGCCTTCTTGCTGGCTCGCCCCCTAGTGGAGTTCACCTGGAACATGGTAAGACATCACTTAACATGTCCCCATTTGAGACAGGAAAGTTTTAATGCTTCCAGCCAGTTCAGATGAATTTTTAGCTACAGTATTTTGCAGTAAACAACGAATCTTAAAATATCAGATATAATCTGTACACAGATCATCTCCCACCCCAACAACCTGTTTGAGATCATGTCCAAGGAGCCTGTGAAGAGAGAGAGGAACCTTCACAACCGAGTCCAGAGTAAGAGTGGGAGCCATGTAAACACTCACGGGGGTGTGTGTCTGGTGGGCGAGGATTCGCTGGCTTGTGGTCAGATCGATTTCACTGCAGTCAGTTGCAAAAGACACGCTCAATTTCAGTTTTATTAAATTAAAAAAGAGCAGGTGTGCAGTAAAATGGATGTCTGTTCTTGTACAAGAGCTCGAACATCAACATTTAATCAACCTTTGATCCTTAAAACATTTAAACATTGCTGAATTAAAGTCTTCCAACTGCAGAAATGGAATAGTTTGATGTCTTTATTCAACTTAAATTGATTGAATTTAGTGGAACTGAGCACAGCCCTGGTTGTCATGGGTGGAGGGTGTGAATATAAATGTTTATGGTTTTGATGGTTTACCCTGTTTTTCCATAGATTCTGACTATGAAAATGCCAATCGCTCCGCTGACGTAGATGTGGAGCTCATGGCTTTCCAGTCCATCATTGGAGATGATTACAAAGGTCATGGCCTTTCTGTTATCTAAAAAGACACATAGCAAGACCTGAGCATACAGACACTGAACTAGTCCGGGTGACAGTGACAAAATAAAACCTATTAAAGACACATTCAAATAGAAAAGAGTCTCACTTTAAAAGAATAGTTTGACATAACGCGAAATACGTTTATTTGCTTTCTTGCTGAGAGTTGTTGAGAAATTTCAAACCACGTCATATCTGTATATATTTAATATAAAGCAGGAGCCAGCAGAAGGTTAGCCTAGCTTAGCATTAAAATGGGAAATAGCTAGCCTCTGTCCAAAGGTAACAAAATCATACATAACAGAACCGCTAAAGCTCACTAATGAATATGCTATATCTGGTTTAATTTTACAAAAACCAAAGTGAAAAAGAGACAGTTTATTGGGGATTATGTGCATTGGAGCAATGACTTTGTGAAGTCCTGTTTTCATTGTGTAGCAACAAGAGGACACTTCAGGAAGTCACTGCTCTCGTACAATTAATAGTCCAGCAAAAAAATGTGCTGGAAGCCATTAATTGTCGTTACCTTTGAACAAAACCAGGTTAGCTGTGTCCACTCTTTATGCTAAGATATGCTTATGGGCTGCTGGCTCCAGCTTCATATTGAACATACAGATATGAGAGTGGTTTTAATCTTCTTATCTGTCTGCAAGAATGCTGATTTCCTGAAATGTCAAGCTTTATCCTTTAAAAATGCGCAACTTCTAAATCCATTAGGATGCTATTTTTTAACACAGTGCAGTTTTTATCTGCTGCTGAAATTTAACCTAAAACACCTCTCTAAATATTTGTTTTGCTGGCATTTTATCGTGCTCCTCTTTTAGACGGTAACAGCGCTAATGCAATGGAGAGCTGGGGCGATGGGAGCCGCTGCCTAAAACTAAAAGGACAAATGAGATACATGCCAGAGTGGGAGTCCATCATCTTCCTGGGAACCCCTGTGTAAGACACACATAACATACACACACACACACCCACACACCCATAGACACAGATCTTTATTAAAATGCTGCAGTTGAAAAGTAAAACATTCTAAAAAGCAGCAAGAGCTAAACTGAATTACGAGGCTGGAAATAAAAGCCTGGGCAGTGAATCAAATCAGGGGCCCATTCTAACAGCACTTACCATGCATGAAATGAGCTGCTAATTAGCTTGTAATCAGACAGTGCAGCTCTTGTGAGCCTAATGGGAACCCATTTGCAACTGAGAGTGTTTTCCACAGAGTACATTACCAAAACATCTCCCTCCTCTTCTAAAACATTTTGTTTTGCAAGTAAATGATCTTATGCCTGTATTGACAAAACTACTGAAATGTTAAATTCCGTATCACACTACTGACATTATTTATACTGTAGGAAACTAAAAATAAAACATTTCAGAATGACTGCCTTTCATTTTTTTTTTTTTTTTTATAGATACTGCTTGTTATTTCTAAATAGATTCTTTAATTGTTTTAGTACATATTATGGATATTATTGTTGTCATTTGTCATTAACTTTTTTGTTTAATTGTCTGTATTAATGTGTGTGTCTAGGATGGAGAGTCTGAGTGCTATGTTTAAGACCGGCCTGTACATCAATGACCTGAGCATGCACGACTCCAGCAGAGACTTGGTGCTGGCCGGCACGCAGCAGTCAGAGGAGCTGAAGAGAGCTCTCATACAGGTTCACTCTGCTCTGAAGTTAGCTGAATTTTATATGTGACCAGCTCATTATGCAAAGTTGCTCTGAAGCCCTTCTTTCAGTCTAGATCAACTACTGCCCACAGAACTGAGATGAAAGAAATAGATGAAATTTTACAGTGTTATTCTGTCTTATTTCCCATTGTGAGTGCAGGAGCAAAAGAAGTCCAGTAAGCTGGAGGAGAGTATGAAGATGCTGGACTATGAGATGAAGAAGACGGATGACCTTCTGTACAGGATGATACCCAAGCCAGTGGCTAAAAGGCTGCGCAAAGGAGAGCCGGCTGTTAACACTTGTGAGGTCAGGATTGTAGATCGTGCCGTATATGTGCCACAGCAACAGTTTCAGTCTTTTAAGATTTGCTTTAAAACAATAGTTGAACATTGTGGGAAATGTGCTCAATCACTTTCTTGCAGAGAGTTAGATGAGCAGGTTGATACCACTCTCATGATTGTATGTTAATATGAAACCACAACAGCCCAGCCTGGCTCTGTATAAAGGCAACAAAATCCATCTACAAGCACATCTAAATTTTACCAGTTCCAAACAAGCTATCATATGGGAATGGGTGAGCTTTAGAGGTTTTGTAAAGCTAGCTGTTGCCCCTTGGTTCCAATTTTTATGCTAAGCTAAGCTGACTGGCTGCTGGTTATTGTTTCATATCTATTGCACCGACATGAGAGACATATACAGACACAGTAGTCTTCTCATCTATCTGTCTTTAACTCACATTCATGTTCCAAAGCACTTTTAAAAACTTGTCTGATTAAAGATTTAATCTTGCATCTATCACAGGGTACAATCTAAGTTGTTTACTGTCCAATGGAGATAGTGACTATGTACCTAAACACACACACTTTCACATCCATATAAATCCACAGAATTTTTACTATTTGTGTAGTCATACTATTGGAGACCTTTTGCCATAGTGAAATTCAGGTTGAGTGAGAGTGGCTGTGGTGGTGAATAACAGCGTAGGCACAAAAAACTGCACATAAATGCCTGCCTCCATCACCTCTGTGTGTGTATGCAGTACATGAACCTGCCCACTCATCAACTCTTATCTCTTCTCTCCCAGGTGTTCCCAGATGTGACCATTCTTTTCAGTGATGTGGTTGGATTTACTCGCATTTGCAGCCACATCACTCCAATGCAGGTGGTCTCCATGCTCAACACCATGTACACGCTGTTTGACACACTCAGTGAGAAGCACCGTGTCTTCAAGGTTCGTGTGTGTTTTCCCCTCAGTTTAATGTACTTTATGCATAAGTGCTGCTGTCTAACAGCTGCTCTTCCTGTCTTTTTTTTCCAGGTTGAGACTATTGGAGATGCTTATATGGTCGTAGCCGGGGCTCCAGAAAAGACAAAGTATCACGCTCATAACATCTGTGACATGGCCCTGGACATGGTGCGCTCCATAGATCACCTGAAAGACCCCTCTAATGGCAACAACATACAGATTCGCGTTGGTGGGTAGAATGTGTGTGGACTTTTGTGCGTTTACGTTTGACCAAGTAAACTAACCTGCTGTTCTGGTTGCAGGGATCCACTCAGGGATGGTTGTGGCAGGTGTGGTTGGACACAAGATGCCACGTTATGGTCTGCACGGTGACACTGTCCACACAGCATCTGCCATGGAGAGCAATGGAAAGGTAGGTGAAAATGAATGAGTGAAAGAGAGATCTCAACTGAAGTGAGAGAGAAACTAAGTCGGTATATATAATGACTAAAGTGACAGTTTTATGTGATTTTGTTATTGTTGTTGTTTTGTTGTTCAGGAAATGCACATTCAGCTGAGCAGCGCCACCTACGAGCACCTGAAAGGAAGTCACTTTATCTTTGAAAGGAGGGGCACCATTACCATCAAGGTTAGGGGTCAAAACTGTTCCACGGCAACACTCATCACAGTAATTGCGTTCATTCAGCCACTACGACAACATGTAATTAATACGATTTGCTGTAGAACATATTAGAGCTGTAGAGCTGTCTGTATGAGCTCATCTCCACTTAAAAGTCAATTCATGTTATTTGCACAACATACACAACCTGCCTGAAACGGAGGCTGTAATATATGTTAATGGAAGATTTGTGTATCGGCAATCAGACAACAGGCACATCATTTCTGAATCTATATAAATAATAACTCACAATGTCTGGGCTCTGGGGAGTCGGCACACTTGGTATTCAGAGCTGGCAGTTGCAGTACTTGTTGATTTGCCAATCTGTTTTATCACAGGGTGTGACTTTGAGGCTGTACATTCAGTGATAATGGCAGCAAAGTGACTCCCAAAGGTTTCCGAGGCAGCTGATTACAGGTGCCAATCTCAAGAAAGCAAGACTCACTTTTCATCAGGGAATGTTGACTACTGAAAATCTGCAACCTGTCATTTTACTTGCCTCCGTAACAGAAATTGTTGCTATGACCGTATGTCTCTGAATGTTTGTGCATAGAGTATGTTAGACAACCTCATGTCCAAACCTAAACCTCTTTTTGACATTTTCCTTCTCCATTTACAGGGGAATGTTGAAATCGAGACATACTGGCTGAAAGGAAAGAGGGACAAAGACGGGAATGCTCAGGCAGCGTGTCCTCAGTTTGAGACCCAGACCATCAGCAAGGCCATCAGCAAGGCCACCATCGCAGGCCCTGAGGCCACAAGGGATGAAGAGGGACTGGTAAAAATTCAACTAAGACATGATTGAATGGTATACACTCTCACTTGTTTTAATGCCGCCATCATCATCTCTGATTCCTCGAGTCTCCTTCTGACTTTGCCCCCAGGTTTTCCCATTGGTGGCAGGGGAGGACGAAGATGATGTCAAGTCTATTCGCTCTCATCGTATCAAGATGGAGATTTCAGGCCATTCTCTTGAGGAGTCGATGGAGGAGTGCCGGGTGGAGGAGATGTCGGTTCATAAGGTGAGAGGGAATATCTGGTGCTAAGACTTCTAGACTTTTGATGACTCTGACTCCGCTACGACTTTTAATAATTTTTCTTTTCATCTATAACCGTCACTGTCATTCCCCTTCTTATTAGCCCTTAGCACTTACTGTTTTGTTGTTGGTGTGATAAAATGAGCTGTTCCTTCCCCAGTCCCACTATAAGGATGCTTTGCAGGACGGCCTCCATCACTCTCACCTGGAACTGGACTCCCCCGAGTCTGACGGCAGAGACTCCATCATGGAGTCCAGTGACAGCTCCTGTGACTCCCGCTGCTCCAAGAGTGCCATGTGCTCCGTGTCATGAACGAATGACGCTATAGCCAGTAATTCATTTTTATTACTGTTTCTAAAGCACAACTCACTCAAAGCAATGAATGTTAGGCCAAATGTCAGATAGGAATGCGGTTTTTGTTCTTATTTTTGCCTTTTTTGGTAGAGTTCTTGTGGTAATGCCATGATTATCTCTAAGGATGTGCTGTTTGTACATTAACTAGTCTGTAATGCTTGAAATTTCTAGTGGTCTTACATGGTGTTTTTGCACTGTGAAATCATCAGTGCTTATTTAGCTCTGACAGGAAATGACAGAAATCAATTGCAGCCAATCGCTGTCAATTTCGCACCTGACATGAGACACTTCTCCAATTATTACCTCACATAAGTCACCTCAAAGTAATTGCCACTAAAACTTTGCTGCATACCCACTGTGTAACATGTGTTAGTACCACTGCCACGTGGTTCAGCTGGACATGAGCTCAGTAATTTCCGACACTGTTTGTTATGCTACATCTTGTAGATTTGACATCTTGTTTCAGTCCGTGACAAAATCACTCTCCCCCTTCTCCCCTTCATCTTGCATGTCTGAATTCATTGTTCTATATCAGTCTCGTCGAATACACACAGCCACTGCACAACGTAAATGCTTGTCAGCTCAGGGAAAATAAAACGAGATGACTGCTGAGCCGCATGTGGATTCCTTTGTTTTTGTTTGTCTTGTCACTCAAAGGCACTGGTGTTCAGACTCATATTTACATTTGCATATTTTTTACGCTTTTTATAGAACACATTACTCCATGGTTGTGGATATTTTGTATTGCGTCTATGTGTTGCTCATGTGACACATATACGTTTGTATCTCTCTTATCTTGCATCTTACTCAGTAAACCTAATACACAAACCCTTTATACCCTTGTATTTTAGCTTCAAAATCTGTTGTAACCATATTGTCTAAGGTTCAAAAATCCTCCTCATATCAATCAATCAAGAAAATAAAAAATAAAAAATAAAAAATAAAACAGGCACAAATCAATATCAATGTTGAACCAATATCTCAAATTTTATGCTTTGGTTTCTTGTAATTACAATTTACTTTATAGTGCTACACATACATACATACCGTGTAATCCTAACAGAAATACATGAATAGACCGTCAAATATATGTAATCATAGTCCAGTGTTCCAGTCAGACAACGTTCCCCACTGACTGGTTATCAGAGGAGCTGCACTTGTAGGTGGCATCCTCACGGTCAAGGCTGCATCTGTTGGCCGTTTGCGAGTCTTTGGGCAATGAACTGATGGAGCAGTGGAAACAGAAGGCGTAGAAGAAAGCGAGCAGGAGCAGAAGGCAGACAACACAAAAAATTACGACAATCAGGATAGTGTGCACTTGCATGTGCACCTCCTCCCATGGGAGCAGTGTGGTGGTGGCCAGGAGGCTGGAGGTCATTGAGGTAGTGTTGTAACTTGGTGGAGGAGTCACTGTGGGTGACTGAGGCTTTATGGAGGCCAGGAGGGTGACTTGTGGCATGATGGGAGGATGTGAGCCCCCAGTGGCTTGGAGACACTTTGTTATAGCTTTATGGAGAAATACATGTTTTAGTTTGGTTCACCACATGCACAGACAAACACTCACATTCATTTAATTTTTTATGTAATTTAATTTAAAGTGGAGTTTAAGGTGTTAATGTGTATTGATAAATCAACCTGCCAAAAACAGATAAGAACAATAGCATACAAATAAAAATACTTCTTAACACATCTCTGTGTAATAATAAGCCATGTTACAAAAATAACATTATTAATTTATCATCAATTATCGATAGCAGCAGGTTAATTATATTCCTCAAAAAACAACCCAACACAGACATGTGTTTTGTTCTTACCTGAAGTGTACTGTGTCCAGTCTCCCTGAGCAAGACTCAGGCTTTCTTTTGATGAGCACAGCTTGGGAAAATGAAAGAAATGGAGGACAAAAGAGGGAGCGTTGGACTGAAGAAGAGAGGTGGCTGGTGGACCACAAATAACAGGGAGGGTTGCTATGGCAACACCTGCTGAGGGGCCACTAGCATGGAAGTGACATCATATCACCCTAAGATTACTGTGTGTTTGTGTGTTTTGAAGTCTACAAATGGAGATTTAAAGAGATATTAACAGTGAAATTAGTTTGCTAAAGCTTCAATATGTACACCCAAAATCACCTGTAGCTTATAAAATAATTTCATCATCATTTACTGGTATTCTTCTGAAAACTGCAGAATCAAACCTTCAATATCAAAAGCTTGGGAACAGCAATTAATTAAATTAGAGTGTGTCAAATCACTTATTTGCAAAGAGCAAAGCCACCAGTTCAGCCCTGAGATTAATTAGGCTCTCTAATACTGCCCCCTGTTGGTAAAAGAAGCAGCACTGAACAACACACCGCAAAAAGCAAACTCATCTTGCCACCAGTCCAGCCCTTGTGCCGTCTGGTCTCTTTCAAACAGCCATAATGATCCTTTAGTACAAGTTGTAATTGGTCCCACACCCCCTGCTGTGCTTCCTCAACAGGAGCCGATGCCTAAAAAATGTTTTAGGACTTGGACCAAATTTTAGTTGCCATGGAGATAACTAATTTTGTTAACACTTAGAGCAAGTAAACCAGAGAGCTGTATTTTTCCTAAAACCACTCATAAATACCAGACAAAAGCAAAAAAATATTCATTAGCATAATTTCATGTAGAGTAGGACACAGAACAAAGCCTGCCAAATGATGTGATTTTAGAGTGCTTTCAGATGGTTAATTACAGCTACAGACAATAGACACAAAAGATCCATTAAATCCAACTGCAGCTGAGTAGAGCCAAAATGGTTGAATGGAGGACTTAGCCTACACCAAGGTTAGTCTAAAGGACAAATGTGTGAAGAAAGACCATCAGCCTGTGTGGGCCTTCTGACCACTGTGGTTCCAGTAAAGATGAACCACATGTGGGTTAAGACTGAGGAAGTCTTCTGAAATCAATGATCTGAACAACCTGTTTTTGTACATCTCCGAACAGAAGGCGAAGAAGGATTTTACCTCAAAGTTGCTCATGCAAAGTAGACTATTAGTACTTCTGCTGGGAGAACACAAAGTGTTCACAGCTGGACATTATATGTGTCATATGGCCAACTACCTCTGTGAAAAGGGCAAGCTGACAAGCTCTAACAGACAAACACATTGCTGCAAGAGACTGCATGCTACGTAATAGTCCCAGAATTAACATATAAAACAAACATTTAGAGAAAAAATCTCCCTGCTGCAAATTAGTCAGCGTCTCTGCATGTAGTTTCCTGCACTGTTTGTTCTGCTGTGCCTTGAAGATTTGATATCTTGCTCTGCCATGCGGGTGTATAATTGTAAACTCTTCTCTCTCACTCTTGCTTTTCAATTAGTCTCTCTTTCACTGTACGACTTAAGTGCGTGTCACCATGTGGAAATAAAGCAAGTTGACAGCAGAGGAGTGGATTGGCTTGTTATTTTTTTTTCTCTTGTCCCTCATGGAAGCGTTGATATTTTACAGTCACATTGTTTTCTGTCGGTCACTGATTTGAAAATATTATTTGACCATTAATAAATTGTTTGTGCCTGTATGCATGCATTTTTGGAGATTCCTGATGGCTACATTGGATTTGAAAAGAAAATAGCTGAAATGGCTAATTATTTTATTGTCAAAAATCTCAAAACACATCCTTTACACTCACACTGAGCTATGGAACTGACAAACCCCAACAGTTCTACACGGCTACGCACTCAGCTTGTTTTTCTCCAGAATGCACAGAAATTCACCTGACAAAGATTCTTGGGATAAGGGGAACAAAAACATACATTTTTAGGACTGAACAATTATGAATAAGTGTCCAATTTACTTATTGTAGCTAAAATATGTCTTTAAATTAGCTACATTTGCAAAATATTCATAAAAATTACACAAATTGTAAAAACAGAATTATCACTGAAATCTGTGCGGGGAAGCAGGGCCTGTCATATGTGAGGTGTACTGATATTAGATGAAGTGAAATTGATGTTGGTTCTCTGTTTGACTCAGTGTTGTTTGGGACGCTGGTTCACTTCTTCTTATTCACAATGTTGTTGCAAATCCAGTTCATGCCATCCTGTCGGGGAAATGAGAATAAAACTGAATCACTTCCACAGTAAAATAGCCATCAAACTCAAAGAGGTAGTTAATATAAATAAAGTCAGTTCAGACTGATTTCAGTACAACATTGTACAGCAGGAAGGCTGGGAGCACTTTTACATGGTTAATTAGGTTCTATCTGAGGAGAAATCAATAAATCAAAGCTGGGACTAGGTCTGACCTGAACTCCCTCCCCAGACACAGCTGAGCAGGCCTGAATCTGCCACTCACGGTCCCGGTACGTATGCAGGTTGAGTCCCTCAGCGATCTCACTGGCCGGTGACGCTGTGGCCAGATCCTGCTTATTGGCAAAGATGAGCACCGGAACGCCCTTCAGATTCTCCTCGTCGATCAACTCGGACAGCTCCTGCACACATACAGTTTTTGATTGACATGTTAATTTTAGGTTCTTTTGCTGTCGTTCTTGTTCTTGAGTGTATTTGCATTCAGAAATGACAACTGTGCATCAAGCTCACCAGTCCTGTCTCCTCAAACCGCTTCTTGTCTGCACTGTCAATAACATAAATCTGAAAGAACAAATATGTAAGAATAAATTAAAATGAAATGTGAACACAGAAAATTCACAGACAGACAGTTTCTTTTTGGCCTCAATATTTTGCTGTTTGCATGTAAAAACCTGAAGGTGTCAGTGACTCCTTTTGGTATACAGCTGCTGTTGTACAGCAGGCAAAAGTCAGTTAATTGAGAATACATGATACACTTGTCAACCTTTCAAAAATTAGAGTTTTACTAACAAGTTCGTTCATCAAGATACAATTACAGTGCCTAATGTATAGTCCTGTCCTGAGTATAAACATCGGTATCAACTGTTTGTGCTGTGACACTTTATATATCCTATTAAACTTCAATCTCATGGATTTTTAATGCACCTAATGCTTTTTGTAGTGCATTTTCAAAAACATAAAGATGAGCACATAGAGAATAAAACAAATGTCTCGCAGGGGGAAATTTATTTTGTACTGAAACACAATTAAAGTCACTCACCAACAAGTCTGTGTTTTCCAGGTACTTTTTCCAGAAGGGCCTTATCTTCCTCTGTCCTCCAATGTCCCAAACATTAAGTTTCATGCCATGAGAGGCAACACTCTTTATGTTGAAGCCCTGAAGAGAAACACAAAGCCGGAGTCACTGTACTGCACATCACTGCCTTCAATTTAACACAGTTCCAGAGCGCAGCACCTGGAAAGCCTTGCAAATGGTTATGAAGCAATTCATTAAGCAACAATGTACTAGAGCACAGGTGTGTGTGTTAAATTAATCACTGTTTGGTTACTCTGTATTGTAACCTTGTTATGTATCAGCAGGAGTTCAGCTAGGTGTTTATAAGGAAATGGTCGCTGTGTTAATCCGAAGCCGTTTTTCATAACACAGCTCCTTTCTGTTTCAGTCGGCGAGGTTGTATAACAACTTTATCCTGAGGGCCAGTTGAGGAGCAAATCTGAGGATAAGACTGGAAGGATCAAGTGCAGTGTATGTGTTTATGTGTCAGGTCTGATTTAGCTTTGTGGTGATTATTGCTATGGCATACTGGACTGCATCCTCTCTGCCTGCTGTCTGATGAGCCGTCACACTTGTCCAGGACCTGGCAGTACATCTGCTCTATGTCTTGTCTTGAGAGAGTAATGTGAGGGTGTTAGACAATCATATTAGAGGTTAGATAATCACATCAAAAGAGGGTGATAAAACACTGTTAGGATTTTCTCAGAAAATATGTTGAGAGCAGGAAATCTCCTGCTGAAAGGTTATTTAACATATGGTATAACAGGATGATCTGACATCCGCAAACCATTATTTTACTGATTAGTGGTTAAAGCATGTGTACTTTAAGACCAATCATTTCATTTCACAGCGTTTCAGAAAAGCAAAGGTCATCTGAATCCCATTAATATCAGCGAGAGCATGCACTGGTCCAGCTGGTCTCACAAGATTAGATACAATCCCCCCTGCCACTTATAGTGCTAGGTTACAGTACCATGAAAAATAATCTTTTGAAAAAACCCACCAGACAAACTGCATCGGCCTTTACATAGTGGTATTTTGTTGTTTAACAAAATATTGATTTAGTGTCTGAAACAATGAGCAGGAAATGATGTAATGAAGTGCATCAGCTGTTCATGGTGAGATGAATTAATTAAAACGAAGGACCCAAAAACATCATTTGCGGGCACGTCAGTCAGCGCTGTGGTGTACAGTAACTCTCCTTCAGGTCATGATGCGTGTGAGTGTTTGAGTTATAACATATAACTTCGCCTCACCTGTGTTGGTGTGATGGTGTTTACGTCCTCAGAGGCGAGGCTCTTCAGCAGGGTGGTTTTGCCGGCGTTGTCCAACCCCAAAAGCACTATCCTGACCTCCTGCTCTGTGGATCCCTTCAGTTTCTCAATGACAGAGAGTAAGCCCTGCATGTAGGGTGGGATGGGTGGGGGGGTTAGGGCAGACCATAAACTTACTGCACAGCATCCATTAGTTTATGTAGAATATACTTCTTTTCTTTTCTGTTTAATGTGATCTGCCATTTGAATTGTACAATGTTTTGGTTTGGAATACCAAACCATACAGCTCAGGGGCTCAGCTATTTTTGACATAATGTTACTGAAAAGCAGAATATTACTATGATAAATGTTTTCGGTCCTTTCCTCAGGGAATGTTTCTTAGATACACTCTGGAACATCCTAGATAATATCCAGAAGTAAATAAAAAGACAAACACTGTTTTTAGACACACTTTACACTTCAAAACTGACGTCACTGACCTCTTTCTGATTTGAAGTCAAAGCTCCCCTTATATACAACGCCACTGAGCACACGTGTGCCCTTCATGCTCCACCAATCTCCAGCCCTCCTTACTGTATAGTACCCACCCCCATTCTATAAGAATTAATCTGTTGCTTCATTTAGAAAAGCACTGGTGTTGATTAGAGATCCATTCATATAATGGTGCACTGTTTAATGTGATTAGTCTGAAGCAAGGTTGCACAACCGCAGACTGCCACATTGCTGACAAAAGAGGCACTGTAGCTTTAAAGATTTGATTCAAGGTGATAGGTACTACAGTGTATGTGATTAACTGTACATCAAAGGGCATTAGAGGTTCTATTTAGATGTAGAATCATTATATCTACATATCACAACAAGGCTATTTAGATAATCCAACCTATATAGCAGGGAGTTGTTTCTTAAACATACATAGTGTAAAACCCATATTGGCAAACACTTTTTGAGTCATAACCAACTTATTTTTATCAAACAAATCCAGAAAGTTCACATTTGGCTTTATAAGTCCTGTTCCTCCAGATTAGGTCACTTACCTTCTGAGCTTCTCCCATGGTGGCGTGTTTCCTGTGGCTTGGCTGGAGGGCTGCAGCTACATTCTCCAGTGAAGCTCACACAGGTGTGTTAGCTATCCAGGTCACCGAGGTTAGCTATCCAGAAAAAGTACCAAGAGCCTCTGGTCTTTTTGCTCTTCTTCTTTTTCTTCTGTAAACTTGGGTGGGTTAAGTGCTATGTGTGTATGTGATAGTAATGTCTACCTGGGCGTCAATTGCTCCTCACTGTCGCCGTGGAGTTAGCAAGCAGGAAGAGGGGGAGGGTGTATGGGGCTGGGATTAGGAGGCCAGAATTAGCCCTAGTCATCCATGCAAAGGCCACCCCATCTGCCCTCCCCCTTCCTCTGTCCATCCCTCCATCTCCACTTTGCAGTGGCTTTACCTGGATTATCCCTTAGCCACCTGCTATAGGAGGAAACTGAGTAAACACTCCTTCCTGACACACTCACACACAAAAATAGAAAAACTTTCAGACATTTTGCCATATGGCTGAGAGGTGGGGGGAAGCTGTTATTGGAGAAAAACAAAGACACTGTGGGCAGCTTGAGGACTGGCAGTATGCATACAGTTTAACACATAAACTTCAAAGGATTACATCATGTTGTTGAACCAGGGAATTTATTATTTCTGTGTTCATAAATCAACTTTCAAATCCCATCAATCCATCTCTCTCGGAGAGGTTTGGATACCATTAACATTCCATATATCCATTACATGCCAGCCGCTATAATGCTGCTCTGTGTGGCTCATCTGCAGTGTGCGTTCCAGTGAGAAGAGCATTCAGCGGGATTAGTTTGAGCAGGCCTCCTGTCCTGTGGCTGGATTAAAACATTTCTAGGCTCTTTTCCTCAACTGAACAGGCTTTCTGGTTAGTGGGCGTGGTTGACATTAATGCTGTGTTAAACAATGGATACACCCTTGTCAGGAAATGGCTGTACATAAGCTTGTAACCTCACCTGACCACACACACTTAGCTTCAAAGACAGAGATTAAAGAGGTTTTATTTCTATATGAAATACTACAACTACAACAGAAAATGACCATACAATATTAGTGTTATTATTGTTCAATGTGATAGACTTTTTCTTATTTAAGACCCTCTTGGTGTGAATGGAGCTGGAGCACCACTCAGTCCAATCTGTGCCCTCTGTTTCATCCTCTCTTTGTGTTTAGCTGTAGAGAGAGAGAGAGAGAGAGAGAGAGAGAGAGAGAGAGAAAGGGAGGTGTCACACTTAAAAAACTTACATAGAGATTGTGCAAAACTTAATGGAGTAGTTTCACATTTTGGGAATATGTTTATTTGCTTTATGGTAGGACATTAGATAAGAAGAGCCATACCACTCCCACGTCTGTATGGTAAATATGTAGCTGGAGTCAGCAGTCGTTAGCTAAGCATAAAGACTGGAAACAGAGGAAAACAGCTAGCCTGGCTTTGTTCAATTATAACAAATTTTACTTCACTTCCCAGCACCGAGTAGTTTACTTGATATTTAGCAGCAAATTGAGTTTTTACGACACTTATTGCTCATCGTCATTTTGCGTGTTAATTGGTGACCTTTAGAGGTTCTAGTGGATGGATTAAGTTCGCTTTGGACAGAACCAGGGTAGCTGTTTCCAGCCTTTGAACTAAGCTAAGCTAATTGGCTGCTGGCCTTTTATTTTACAGATAGAAAGCCAAAGCCAAGAAAGCCAAATAAGCATATTTCCCAAAATGTTGAACTATTTAAGCTTTAATTATTTGAAATATACCAGTAACATACACATACAGTATATCTATCATCATCATTTGCATTCCAGAATATGTATTTAAGAAAAGAGATGGTTGACTTTATTGTTTTTATTCTCCACTCTATTAGGCCCCTGAACTGAGCTCTTACCGTTGTCTCTTTTCAGCTTGAACTTCATAGCCAGCCCCATAATCACAACCAGGACCAAAGCGGCAACACCACAGACTACCAGGATCACCACAGTGTTGCCTAGATGAGGACACAATTACAAAGGCAGACACATCAAGGGTCAGATGTGTGCATTTCATTATTCATATCTTAAAAGCAATTCAATTCAGAAATTGTAAAATTGACTATTTTCAAGCCTCTGGTTAATGAAATGCACAATCTACATTACAAGGGCAAAGATAATCTGTGGCTATGTGAAATATGTGGGGAGATGTCTACTTACTGTTTACAGTGACACCATGTGGCAAAGCCTCATAACAGCCACATTCGCTTTCCACAAAGCAGCTGTACTGGCCTGAATGATGTGAAAACACTTTTTCAAGAACCAGCTCGCTTTTATTTTGGCCTTCCGGGATTTCCTTCTCATCTTTATTCCACCCAAACGTCAGAGTCAAATTGAGAAAGTTATGGACACATGTTAGAGTGACACGATCACCCTCCTCTGGCTCTGACACACTGCTGTTGACACAAACCTGAAAGACTGATGGGAAGAGTATACTTAAGGGGAGGGAAGCAACAGTGAGAGTGTTAGGTAATTAGATAAATAGATAGATATGAAGATACTGTCACAGTTTACCTTTTGTGCAGTTTGATGGAATATCTGCAGATACTAAACATGGAAAGGAATGAATACAGTCGCAGTCAGCATTTTATATAAAACAGAGCATACCTGAGACACTGTATCCATAAAGTTAATTTTAGGATAAATCATAACATGCAACCTCATTGTACCACCACACTTCATGGCCAATTACTGTTTCTCACATACCACATGTAAAATTCAAAGGATTTATCTTCAAGCAAACAAATAAAAAGAAGGATGGCACTAACCATTGATGCATTGTGCTGGTTTGGTTGGGCAGCGTGGACAAGAATCTATAGGGAAAAACAGAGATGGAAGGAATAGCATTAAGAACTTTTGCCTCTTACCTCGCAATTATTTATAAGAGACAATGTTCATGTTCATTAGCTTCTACATACCATTTCTAGATGTAGTCTATAAATAGAAAGAGAGGTTTCGGTTGATTTCTTTCTTTCTTTCTTTTTTTCTTTACCTGTCAGAGGTTCTTGTTTGATGTCACATCTCATACACTGGGCAGGAACACAGTCAGAGCCAACGGCAGCTGGAATATAAAACAAATATAAAATAAAAGTGTAAAGCTAAACAGGCATACATATTCAGAGAATAAGGAAAACATAAAAAAATGTAAAATGAAAAAGTGGCTCCTTACCTATGAGGAGATGACCAAGCAAAAGAGATCTCATCACCATTCTCTGTTGGAAAAGACTCATATTAACTTCTAAAAGTTATGAACATTTAAACCTATTAGGAGCAGAAAATGCCCTCTGACTGAAACATGTAACATCTTGTACATTAGGTATTAAATATCATTATAAAGCTAGAAAAAACAACATTATAATGCTCAAATGTTTGTCTTTTTTTTTTTTTACCTGTGGTGGTGTTGTTTCCTCCTCATGTACAGCTGAATGATGACTCTGCTTTGCCTAACCTAATGGTCTTTGCGTCAGAAAAGGCACGGCAGTCTGATTATAAATACTGATACCAATGCAAATAAATTCATTCCTGGAACATTATAGCACAAACAATACCGCCGTTTGTATTTCTTGTAGGTGGTAGCAATGGCAATGATGACAGTTAGGCTGTTGTTGCTTTTTATGTTGTTGATTTGTACATTTGTTACAAAAACACAGGCATGCTGACTTTTTGTCTGTTATCAGTGGTTTACTTAAGCATGCTGTCCACTGCCTTTGCATACATGACATAATGTGACACTTTTACGGCCCAATTAACTGAACTTGAAGAACTGAAGCCTGGAAATACATGTTTTTTATCCATCCTTTTATTCATGAAGTGGCCAGTAGAGTGTGCTGCTGATTATCAGTCTTTCTTTCTTATCATTCTTCCTGTTCAGGGTCAGCTGTGGCCTATTCCTCAATGCACTGGGTACACATTGGACAGATTGCAAAACACATTCATAAACCTAACAGCTAAAAGTCAATTAAGAGTTTTAGTTAACCAAACCTGCATGTGTTTGGACTGTGGGAGGAAAACAGGTGTTTATGCAAACTTCACACAGAAATAACCAAACAGGTTTTGGATTCAAATGGTCACCTTAGCACTCTTTCATCAAAGATACTGTACTGTTATGAAAGTCAGGTTGAATCATTGAGAGTTTAAATAGGCCAGGATTATTTCCTCATTCATTTGTATTTCCTGTCAGTCTAACCTCAACCAAACCTTACTGTCTAGCCATAACCTGTTGATTATTACTTGTATTTGATTATTACTTGTATTTTGACATGTCAAATATTCAGTTTATGACAGAATAGTTGTATCTCTGACAAAGATACTGGATATACTAATGCTCTGATGAAGGCCATGAAGCCAAACCATTAACATATTTGGCATATGTTGACATTAGCACATGGCCAAAATAAATTGGTGTTGTTGAAATTAGTCAACTTTTTTCTACAAATTTGTATGTGCTTCATTGTATGCCTTTGGTTGTTCATCCTGAGTTCAAAACTGAAACTTAAGACATTGGTTTAGCACCACAAACTAAATCCTGGAGAGAAATCTAACTAATACTGAATACAGTATGATACTGTAACATGCTAACATTAGTATTAGAATAAGTTGATGATAACTTTAGCATGTTACACCAACTTGCTACTGCACAAGTTAACATGTTTACAGACTAACAGTTTATTGTTAGCAAATTAGCAAGCAGTTTGCAAGCTAATGTTCTTGTACAGTTAAAGGTGAAGCAAAAAGTTACAGCTGAGGCTCACTTTTTGGGTGTTACATTAAGAAAATGTCCTCTTCATTTGACAAACTATCTGTACCAGACATAGTATACGACATAAGCCAGCCACGATGCTAAAAATTCCTGTTATTGGGACATTTACAAACAACACATTTGTTTTGACACCTCAAACTGCTATCCGCTACAATTGTCTCACAGCTTTCTCTTTTTACTATTTCCCTTCACTCTTTGCAGGCTACAATATGTGTTGCTAGTAAATAATGTTTTGCCAACTCTTTAAAGTTCAGAAACAATGTACAACTGGCCTGTGGTGGATATAATATGGCCTATTTCTCAAGAGCTGCACAAAGCCACTGAGCTCTGATAGCCAAACAAACCCACGCAGTGACAAACGTCAGCTAATTGACTTCACCTGGGTTCCTAGCTAGTGCGCATGTCAGGACTCGTCCAACAGGTAAGACCGGAGCTGTTAATTAACTCTACCTGTGTATTCCAGGGCTGTGCTGGTTTCATTGTCATCTCTCTCCTCTTCACTCGCAGTACGCTTGTTTCCCTGAACATGGTCGCTCTCAGAGGACTTTATCACAGGTTCTCCCACCTGGCAAAAGTGGCAGCACAGAAGCAGTTCAGGAAATATGAGAAATGTTGCACAATAACCGCTGGCATCAGGGCGGACAACAAGGTATGACCATACACATATGTGCATACCGGCTTAACAGTGTTTGGCAATGCATTTAAGTATAGTGTACTATTTGCACACACTACTCGGAATATATGTGCACTCTCTTAATTGCTATAGTTGCAGAATAATACCCATTTCATTTAGCACGTCTGACGCAATGTGAATGCGATGGTACACTGCACATAAGTTTAGCTTTTTTTTAAAAACTATTCTGAACACTTCAAAGTGAGATTGAAGTTGTTGAAGCCACCTACCACCTATATCAAATCATATCACGAATTTCACTTCTGGGCACTATCTTTAAAATAGGTGAATATCAGGAGGAAGCATTGTGGGTTGTTTTTTTAAAAATAACTTTAAAGTAAAGGGCAACTATGATTAAAAAGAAGAACAAAAGTGACACATGCGCAAGAAAAAACAGCACGGATGCAGCACTGTAGTTGTATAATCGCTGCTATGGATCGTATAATGGTTGTAAACTGTGTCTAGTAACTCATACAGTGACTACATCAAAAGAGGAATGAGTGCATTTGTCTTGTCTGTGTTCCCACATCACAGTGTTTCTCAAGACGTAGGCTGAGAACAGTTTGATCATAGTAACCATACTTCCTCTTTTGTGGCTTGTTGCTATGGCAAGACTTCCCTTCCAGGCAGGAAGTGACAGGAAGACCCAAGTGATGAGTTTTTGAGTGTGTGTGTGAAGAGTGTGCATAATGTTTGGGTGGAGCACTTTACTGTGTCCCCTGACGGTGTGCACATCGCATTCAGTCGACTTCGGCTTGTAGTCCGGTGTCTGGGCCACCATGGCGAAGAACTGCAATGCTCTAGGGATTCCTGTTGGCCACATGGTGAGTTGGCAACACTCTTGTTAGGTTTGGTTTGGTTCTGCAGCTGTCCTTTTGGATCCAGTGGTTCGTTTATGCAAGAATACATTTAAGAGGAATACGTTGGAGTTAAGTGTGTTGTCTGTTCTGAATGCCTCCTTTCAAGTAGAATCCTTGTAATTAATTGCCAAACAGGAATGTCTTTTTAAATCGTGGACTACTTTTTTACAGTCTGCTTTTTTAACCGTGTTCACACTGCTGCGTTGATGATCCAGGTCAGTCAATACAGTTTTATGTGTTTGCTTGTATCATCTATCCCAAATCCTTCAGCAGTGTCTGAACCAACCATGCTGTGCAGCTACAGTTGGTTGCTGCTGAAAACAGACCGGGCCCGCTTGAGTCAGAAGCGGAAATCAAGCCATGCCTGTTTGCCAATCTGTCATGTGTAGGCCGAGTTGGCTTTGGTGTACTCTGCGCAAGGCAGTTACGTTTCTTGAATTGGCTCAGCTCTGCAAAAGGTGTGAAAAGTGTCTATAAAGATGCATTTCAGAGAGGCAGAGAAGACCTGGATGTTGCTATGGTTTAAAAAAAAAAAAGAAGGGGGCACTTGTGTGTTTTCTGTGATTTTGGAAATGTTCCTACAATTGGTGCTGCATCAGATTCTCCCGTTTGCATATCTCGTCTCTCCTTGAAAAGGATTTTCAGAGAAACCCTAATCCCTCCGATATTTTTCTTTGCCGTGGTGTACGAGGAGCGAAAGGTGCACAAACAAGGCGTTGATGAATCATCTGCTTTCAGTTTGTGGAGAACTGTGGATTAAGTGTGTGTGTTGGTTTCTCCTGGCAAGTGCGTTTGTAGGCACTGACATGTTGTGTTTTTGGAGCCAGAGTTTGAGCAGTAGAGCAAAAAAAAGAGAAGAAAGTTGAAGAGGTGGAGCCACAGTGGAGCTCGCACCTGCAGAAACAACCAGCCCTTATCAGCCTTATATGGGCAAAGATTATCAATTGCCAAGAGCTGTCATTATTGAGCTGCTGCGGAACATAATTATTATTCACTTTCTCTCTGCTTGCACTAAAAGTCTCACACACATACATTATACTTACTTACTGACAGTTTGTTTAAGGATACAACTTTGATAATGCGGATACATTCTTCTTGTGTTAAGGAGCATAGATCACTTCATTCCACGCTGAAGAAGATATTAAATTTCAAGTATAAATGAGGGGGGGGGGGGGGGGGGGTCAAAGTATAAGGGATTCAAGTCAAGATAAAACTTAATAGGTGGCACAAAACTCAGATTGATTGTTTGTCCTTTTTCATTTGTATATGAGTAAAATGTTAAATTACTTCTGTACTTTCCAGTAACTCAAAGAGCATTGAAGCTGTGAGTGACTGTTTAATGGGGACAATGTTACTTTCAGGTTTATTTTTATACACTTCACACCCTGATTACCGGTTGCTACTTATAGAAATAACTTGACATTCACACCTCTGGGCAATTTTTAGAGTTAGACCATTTAGTGCATGTTGGTGGACTGTGGTTGGGGGGGGTCCAGAGCATTGGGGAAACCCAGACAGACAAAAAAGCACATGTAAACTGCACAGAGCAAGGTCTTGGGCTGGGAGCCACTGTGTCTGAATAATATTTTACTTTACTGGATTCTTGAGCAGGAGCTTTTCTGTGTGTGAGTTATCTTAACATCCATCATTTCCTTCAATTTCAGTTCAAACGGACCCAGTTAACCGGCTGACATACCTCCCTGGGGGGGTTTGATCAATATCTATATACCTTGATAAAATGCAAACACGGTTGTTGGCACAGGTTTATGTGCAAAGAGTTCGCATGATTCATTGGCAGTATTTATTATGAAGAAATCACTCGAAATGAAACTTTTACAACATGGCAATTTTGTGAGCTCTGAAAGCTGAATGAGAGCCATTGTCATCAGTTTCACAACCACTTCCTGTGTAAGCAGCTTTGACTGATTGCACTACATTGTCAGAGTAAAAAAACAAAAGGCAAAACACATGCAGCTGGTGTTCATATTTCACTTCCTAAATGTATGCCAGTATGCTTTTTGAATATGTGTCTAGCTTCTGTATAAATATTATTTCGAGTACAATATGCTATGTACATTGTAAAACTGTTGCTGTAATATTAAAATGTACTGAACGTCCACACATTTTTGTCAGTGCTTTTTTTTGTTTTGTGATTTATTTTTTGATTTTTTTGTCTGTTTTACTTTTGATTGTCACATCTGAGACAATAGGTAAAGTTAGATAAAGTCCTTTTGTTTGAATGATTCAGGTGAATGTTGAATTGCCCAGCTACTACTAGAGGAATTATATGTAAATACAATAATAGTCCATGAGTAGGCCTCAAGGTGTATTCCATCACATAAGATTTTTTATTTTTTGTTTGTGTTTTTCTGCCTACCTTATCCATTGCTCTCTCTTTCTCTATTCACAGAGCCAGGCAGTGTCAGATGGAGGTAAGCAGAAACAACCAGCGTTTCCTACGAACTGAAACATGTCTGTGCACGACTGAAGAAAATGTCTCATTCTGTCGCGTTCTCAGTCATGTTTTTCTGTGTTGATAAATGGGTGTGTCTGTGTCTGGATATGTTGTAGAGTTGAACATGACTGCACGAGGCTGTGGAGGCAGCAGCTCCAGCCTTCCAGGGACTCCGGGCGGAGAGGCTGGCCCAGCTAACAGCGTGCTGAGCTGGGCCGTCTCCTTTGAGAAGCTATTGGAGGACCCTTATGGAGTCCATCACTTTACGGTGAGACACACTCAACACACCTATGTTGTTATTTCAACCAGTACAGGAATAATTGAAGTATTGCTGTCTAACAACCACTCACAAGGCGTCCCAAATATGTTCCTACCCGGTTATGTGTGTGTTCTCCACAGGCTTTCTTGAAGTCTGAGGTGAGTGCGGAGAACATTTTATTCTGGCAGGCTTGTGAAAAGTTCAGGAAGATCCCAGCCACCTCTTTGAATGAGGTATGCTGACACTTTGTTTTGTTGTTTTACCATCTTACGCGTCATTTGTGATTCATTGTGCTGTGTTTTACTTTGCATAAAATCACTTTATAGTTTTTTGTTATACTCTTTGTTATAATTTCTCTCAAAGACATTGAATGTTTACAGTGAAGGAAGAATAATGATTACTGTGGATATTATAAAATAAAATACAGATTGAAGAGGTGAACAAATACAAATGTAGATTGTGTAACCTGCAGTTTATATTTTTACTTAGGTGCATTTGTTAGACTTTGAGTTACTTGGCTATGATAAACTTATGGACAATTTGTATTTGTTAATGTATTTATGTAGCTATAATTATGTCTGTGTACACCTTCATTGTTAGACCAAACCTCTAACAGTGAAGTTGTTCTATATACAGTAAGTGGGGTTCAATCATTTACTGTTGACCTCAGTGACGGATGAAGCTGTTTTTCAATCATCCTTTCTTTTAGATCTTCTTTTATACTAGCTATAATCATCTTTTAATCTATTTTGTATCTTCTACCTAGGCAAAAGTAGCGTTTGCTTGATTAAATTCTGTCTGAAGAAACAGGAAGTGCATAAATTGACAGGGCTGTTGACTGTCCACACATCAGCCTAGTTTCTGCGGTTGCTCAGCTCAATTAATTGGATTTTAGTGACTTATTGATTGTATGACTTGTAGTGTGGATGCTTGGAAAGGGTTGATTTGATTCTTGGTACAATTAACAAGGAAACACCACGGCAGTGTATAGATATATATATACTCAGACTGACTTCTTAGGCAGGTATTGAAAGTTACACATTCAGCTTTACTCAGATCAAAGTGAAAGGGAAGTTCGTTCATTGTATCTCATGTCTCATCATCCAAAAAATGATTAGGAAACAAAGGTCAGGTCATATCTGATCTTCAGAAAGTTTCAGTCTGATGGAGGTGTTGTGTTTCCAGCTGAAAGCAGCGGCTCGCTCCATCTACAACACCTACCTGTCAGACAGCGCTCCCTATTCGGTCAACATCGATGACACAGCCAAGACGGAGGAGAAGGACCTGGAACAGCCCACACCTGACATGTTCAACAAGGCTCAAGCTCAGGTCTGTTTGGGTACCACACTCCCATTTTAGCTAAATAATCCAGTAATACATTGTTGGTGCCTTGGCTGACTGTGTGTACTGCTGGTCCCTGCTTTGTGTCAGATATTTAAACTGATGAAGATGGACAGCTACAGGCGTTTTGTACGCTCCCCTCTGTACCAGAGCTGCACCTTGGGTAATATAGAAGGCAAAGTTCTCCCTCAGCCGAACCGCTTGGGATCATGGGAGGACGTGGCCACCAGAAGCCCCTCGTTAAGTGAGAAGAAGGTAGAGTGACGGAGAGGAAATGGACTCAGGGGCAAGGATGAGGAAAAGTGATTCTTATTCTCATTTTGCTGTTTGTCATTACTGTTCCAAACAGAACAAAATTTCAGACACTCACAGCTTGCCAGGTGGCAAGAGTGCTTCGGAGAAACAGCGACAGAAAAGAGGATCCTGGGGAGGTAGTGCCTGTTAAATGGCAGATTTTGTGTTATGCCTTGATATACATCCTGTGACTTTATTTCACAATTTCTCCCTGGCTCTTTTCTTGTTTTTTAACAGAGTTGCATATGTCGGTCAAGTCAAGCAGCAGTGTGGAGCTCGGCTCCCTCTACAGGCAGATAGAGGTCAGTGCATTTGTGAAGGTTTGGAGCTGTCTTATGGAAAATCAGTGATAATTTAAAATTTGAGGATAATAGAGGCAGACATGAATGACAAAAATGTTACAGTTTAGTTATGCTTTAAAGTCTTGTGTTTTTTATTGTTAATTCCTTTCTTCTCAATCTGTGACGTAGAATGGCAGATCAAGTCCCCGGTCTCCAGAGCAGGGAGGTGGGGGTCGGATAGGGATGCAGGGGGGCTACTGCTGTGTCTACCTACCTGATGGCAGTGCGTCCCTGGCACCCACTTGTAATGGTCAACCCATCAAAGACATGCTGGCCAGTCTGTGTGAGAAGAGAGGCTTCCCGTTGAAAGATGTCATCATCTACCTTCATGGCAAGGATAAGGTGAACCCTTAACTGCTGTGTCAATAGCACCAGTGACAGCTTTTAAGTCAAGAAGTTGTTCAAAAATATCTACTGTGGCACACAGCAAAGTTGTTTTGCAACAGGCAGTATGAGAAAGATGACTACCCTCTTCCTGTTCTAACATCCTCCCAACCTCTCACTCCCTCTTTTCATTTCTGAGAGTTTGTGAAACTTATTTTCAAGTATCCCCAGTTGATGCTGACATCTCTGAAAGTGACTTTAATTGCTCTCTCTCTCCCTGATACACCATTGCTCCTTCTACAGCAGCCCTTATCGTTGGACCAGGACTGCTCCGTACTGAGGGATCAGCAGGTCTCTCTAGAGCTCAGGGTGACGTTTGCGTGAGTCAACTGTGTCACTTCCTTCATTTCCTTGTTCGTTCTTTTTTTTTCAGTTTTTGTCACCCTAGCAGGCCTTCACACCCACATCCCCACTACAGCATGACACCTCTCACCATATTAGAGGGAAGTCCTTGTGTTAACACCAGACTGGCTCTCTTTGTAGTTACCATTTTAGTCATCATTTGCATTGAATACATTATCAAATGATCAGATTTGGATTTCCTACTAGATATATCTGGCTGGCAGATTGCTCTGTTACTACAGGTTTTGGATGGGTAGATTTTAATGATGCTACATTGCATTTGGCTCAGTTTTACTGTTTGTGCTAACTTTGCGATGATGGAAATGCATGCGTGTTTTAGGCTGGAGATTGCCTTCACTGGTAAGACAGTGGGGATCATGGTGAAGTCCAGTAAGACACTGCAGGATGCCCTCTCTGCCGTTCTACAGAAACACCATCTCAAGCTGCAAGAGGCCTTAGTCACCATGGTGAGTGTCTGTATGAATGAATGAGACCATAATATGTAAGCAGTGCTTGAGTAGTTCCTTGGATAAAGCATATTTGATTAATAGTTACTTTCTCTCAATTATAAAGGAATAATTTAATTGATTGCTTCAGTTTAATCCCTCTGCTAATATATTGTGACTTCAACCGTCATGGCTGAAAGTGACACTAGAGTGTCTGTGAAGCTGAACCTGGATATAACTAATATCTCATTGTAATAATCTTATACTTCTGTGACGTAAATTCACATTAATGACTCACCTCTACTTTTCAGTCAAGCAGACTAGTCTGACATTTTTTAAATGTTGTAAAAAAATTCTGTCAGTCTGTCCTCTGAGCCCTCTCCTGCCTGCAGCAGCCGTTGCTAGGCAACAGTTTACGCGTCAGGGTGCATGTTAATATTTATATCAAATCTGTAATTTTAATGTGATCACTCAAAATTGAATGTTTTAAACTATTTTGTCAGTGGAATAAGCAATGAGGATTACATGCATTCATGTGTGTTTTCTCGATGCTTCATCCCCCAAAACTGTGCAGCTGAAGTCCTGGAGTCCTTTCCTTATGTCTTACGTTGTTCGTTTTAGGTTGGAAGCGACGAGCCCTTGAACATGAACAGCACTGTTTTCAGACTGGCCAATAAGACGCTACGGCTTGACAGAACCAAAGGTTAATATACTTGACCTTTTTAAAACCCAATTATTTACTTTAATGCAATTCAGAGAGACTCATGTTTTCATCATTTACACTTACACGTACATTGCTCCCTGAAAAGCACAAGCAGCCACAGGATGAAAAGAAACCTAGTTTGCAGATGAGTAAATGAAATGCATTCAGTCAAATTAGATAAAGGCACATTCCAACCCTCCATCCGCTGCTAGTTGTCAGTAACGTGGGTGATCAATTGGTAATGCTTTGTAAAATCTTTTCTGCTGCCTGAAATCTCGCTAAATCTTCTAATTAATTTAATTGTTTCTTAAAGGGTCCTAGAAAGTGTTTCTGCATTTCTTGGCCCTCACTTGCTCTTAGCTCGAGGCAAAGACAAAGTCTTTTCAGTGTCCACTTTAGTGCCCTGGTTTCTCTGCGTCTGTCTGCATGTTCCTATTTCACTACTCGGATTTCTTTGTCTCCCTCAGTCTCTTCATTCTTTTCTGTGGGGTTGAAATGTCTGAGTCCATTTGGTTTGAGTGTTGTGTTCACTCACCTCATTTCCCAACTGCTGAGAGACCAGAACCAACTTCACTTTGGATCAGTGCTCTCAGCCTCAGCTCCTCTCACTGCATTTAGGTAGTGGGGGAATAGATTCGATTTAGAGTGGCTGTATCCCAGTAGGGCCAGTTTAATTCTTGTCAAGAATATTTAATCTGGATGATGTCAATGTTTAACACAATGGGAATGTTCTGTAGCATCATCATCAGCCCACTGACTACTTTTGTGCTGGAAGTGAAAGTACTGTTGGAAACTGATTTGTATCTTTTTTTGGTGATTTGAGCAGGAAAAGACATGTCCAGAGGAAGTGGTACAGCTGCAGCAACACAGGTGAGACAGTGTTAATAGACTGACAGACATCTTGTTGCCATCATGAAGAAACTTTTGATTCTGCCTCTGTACTATACTAGACCTAAGAGCCAATCTCTAAAAGCTTCACTGAGGACTTTCTCCCAGCTTCCGTTGTTAAAACTAGGTGGAAAGTTTCAAAAAAAAAAAAAAAAAAACCTGAATTGCTGAACCAATCCAACATCTTTGACATGCAGAAGTTGTGTGCTTTTAAACAGTTACACCATATTACTTTGCTCAGGACGCAACGTACGTTTGTTAGTGGCTG